GTAGGTTGGAGGCCATCGCTATTAGGTTGGAGGCCATCGCTATTAGGGTGGAGGCCATCGCTATTTAGGTTGGATAACACAGAAAGGAAAAAGACACTGTAAAGTACAAATCTTAGGATCCAAAACCGATTTCACCTGTTTCACACTGTCTCCATAGTCATCAAAGGCCCATTGCCACTCCTTGTTGGGGCGAGTAGGAACCAATCCTCGGCCCAACATTCCCACTGGCATGGAGTACTGGTAGTCCCCCAAATGAGCTTGGATGGCACCCAGCTCGTCCTTCGTGAGCTTCTTCCCTTGCATCTGTGGAAGCCACCAATTCACCCCTGACCAAGCATCCGGTTTGGCGTCAGTCTTAACCAGTGTCATGCTGGTTCCACAGTACTTCACGTTCACTTCACCTCCTTCAAGTTCGGTGACACTTGCATCCAGCAAATCTGGATAGTCACAGCCCTGACGGCCCTCTTGATAGGAGCGCAAGCCTTGGACCACCCACAAGGATGCCCACAACGAAGCCGTCTTCATAGGGCTTTTTCAAATGATTCAAAGTTCACAAACAAAGCCAAGATATTGAGCCAGACACTACACCAATCGATGATTCTGACGAGAAACATACCTCCTATCTGGACCAATACTACCTGACCGACCTCGGTCAACGTCAGCATTGACAAAAAGACATCACCATCTGAACGGTCGCACCACCGCCCCGCCCACCTCGTCCGCACCGGTCTGCGCGACGTCGGGAGTCGTGCAGCATCGCCGCTGCCTCGTGGTGTGGGTCGTTTCATCCCGCCGCGTAATCGAAAAGGAATGAAACACTCTGAGATCGTAACAAGAAGCGAACGTAGTAACAAGTGCCACGCTAGTAGTAACAGGTGCCTTACTAGTAGTAACAAGAAGCGAACGTAGTAACAAGTGCCACGCTAGTAGTAACAGGTGCCTTACTAGTAGTAACAAGAAGCGAACGTAGTAACAAGTGCCACGCTAGTATTTATGAGAATTTTTGGAGAGCCAAGAGATGAGAGCTAATCCATCGATTCGCCTACCTGCCATTCTATCGGCCGGAGGATGGATGATGGATGGAGCTGCGAGGATGCAGGACCTGCCTCCTGTGAGGTGAACGCACAAAAGAGTGTAGACTTAGTCTGACATTTTGGAGTTTCGCGGGGTTTCTTAGTTTGCTATTAGGTTGGAGGCCCAGCTCTGCACTCTTAGTGTTTCGTGTGGGTTTAGGGTCTCCATTCTGTTTTGACTGACTCGGGGGTTGCATTGATTGGAACCTACATCGGTGTCATTGGTGTTCCTTCTCCTTTTTAAGCTCTGGTAGCAGAATGTCATGGGTAAGCTGATTCTCGCAACAGACCAACCTGGTCATTGCCACGAACGCAATCGAACGCACTCGTAGCACGGCACCCCAAATCATTCTCCCAAATCAAGGTCTTCAGTGGAAATCGATATCGGTGCACATCGACTTAACATAACAACCTGTGGGAGAATGATCACATTAAATTGTATGTTATGAGAGCCTGCTAAACTTCAAACATGCTATGACATTCTTAGTGCAGGGCTGGGCCTCCAACCCAATAGCAAACTATATTGACATGGCTTCCTTTTCTTGTTTTTTGTTTCTAATAGCGATGGCCTCCAACCTATAATTGTAATGGACTCCAACCTACTAGCGATGTATAAAAACCTGCGAAACTCAAACAAGCTGAGACGACTGCCGCACCCGCTGAGAGCGCCTTTCACCGGACGGCAGAGTTCGGCAACGCCTGTGGATGGCAGTTCTCAGGGGACTCGTTCGTCTTCATCGGCAGAGTTGTGGAACATCCACGGACCTCCTAGTCACTAGTCTGCAAGACTGCTCGAGGCATTCCAACTGACAAAACCATCACAACATATCTGCGTTTTGTCGCGCCAAACCAACAGACCCAGCATTTTCTGTCGCCAGCGTTTCTGTGGTCTGTGGTTTCTATCGGACATCATGTCAACCGATAGCTGTCAATCGAGACGAAAGAAAATTGAGTCCATACGGGCCAGGATGAAGCATGGTACGCTTCTCCCAAAGTGGAAGAAAGATCCATCAGTGGAGAAACCAACAAACTGCGCTGCTGCAGCATGCAACTGTATGCACATAACAGTGATTTGGTATGATTAATATTTTATTCTGCTCCACCTGTGGCTTCTTGAATGCAAACAAATCAAAGAAGTGGAGCAAATCTCGGCAGCAATGAGGTGAGCCTAGCTCTGCTACCTTATATAAATAGTCGGCTGGGTCGTCGTGCACTGTGTCACTGTGCGACAGCAACAGTGCGCGGAGACCATGGAGATGGCTTAGTGCACGGTGTTGTTGCCGGCTTTGTCGATGGGTGTGCCATCCACCAAATATCCCACGTCCGCAGCGTAGGCTGAGGCGGGCAATTCGCTACCAGGAGCATGAGGATCGGGTCCAATGTTCTCCTCAGTCCGAATCTAAAACCACATGGCCATGCTGTGATTATGTTTGCAATACAAGCCAGTCCATACTCCAGGGTGTTGCTTACACAATCATCGATAGCAACCGATACATCTGCAAAATACCGTTTTTACGCTGCTCTACTGTTGAATCAGACATTGACACAAGGGGGAACTCAAAAGTCTTCGCGAACTATCAGTGACCACTCAATTGCGTTGGTGGCTCGAATTCAAACAGCAATCCAGCTGCTGCTTTATGCTTTAACCCCCGTTGCTTGGCAGCAAAGACAAGCTTTCTATTGATTGCTTGGCTATTGGTTTCCCTTTGAGATTCTTGCCTAGCTTTTGCTTGAATCATTGAGTTCACCGAGCAACTCGAACCGTTCATGAAGCTCCGTTGCCAAGTGTCCGGATGGTTGATGTTGTTTCCTGCGGTGTTCAAAGGAGTGCCATCCGGCAAGTACCCCACGTCATTCACGAACAAAGCACGGGGCAGGACGGAGCCTGGCGATGTTCGCGCGCTGGCGCGGCTCGGAGCACTTCGGCTCGGCGTAAGGTCCCTTCCTCTCCGAGACGCATCTCCAGCCGTCTCACCGGAAAGAGAACAAGGGGCATCGCTACGAACGGAGCAAGAAGCTAGTAGAAACAAGTGCCACGCTAGTAGTAACAAGTGCCTTACTAGTAGTAACAAGAAGCTACTAGGGGCTCCTGGCCGTACTACTAGGAGCAAGGACGCTACGAACGGAGCTCGTGGCAACGCTACGAACGGAGCAAGAGGACGCTACGTTCGGAACCCAAGGGCATCGCGACTCGAACGGAGCGTCTCATCGTCTCATTCGGCGCGTCCATCCGGACCGTCCGGCCCGGATCTCTCGTTCGTCGCAACGGTCGCGAGAGAACGGTTCGAATGGAGGGTGATTTGGCGACAGTCTTGTTCAACATGAGTGGTCGAAACAAACACAATCCGGATTCGTTCCTCTAAGCATTCTTGTCTGACGTTTTGGAACCCTTCCAAGCGGATGACACCTTTGAAACCCTACCAACCACACCGAACTACCAACCACACCGTGTGAAGCGTCAGACATGTTGAGTGAGACACTGATTGATTGATCGACGGGGTGTTTTTCCTTCGCAACACAATCTCACAATAGATGGCTTCCCCTAGGGTCCATTCCTTATGATCAGTATCCTTCATTCATGTTTCCTTTATACTTTCTGTTTCGATGCCTCCTGTGTTCCAAAGAGGCAGGGTCGTCAAGAGTAAGTATCAAAACACGAGTAACTTAACATGATGCCAGCAAATGCATTCAAATGCTATGCTGCGCCTCAGTAGATACCATGTTAAATGCCGTGCCATGCTGGGCAGCCAGTGCACCCATTAATCAACCGTATTACCGTCCGTATGGACAGACTAGGCATCTGTAAGGCCAGGAGCCCCGTTCGTAGCGTTCTTGTGACGGCTGGCGTACTTTTGGTAGTTGCAATATTTGGTAATTCCTTCTTGTTCCTAGTAGTACGGCCAGGAGCCCCTAGTACTTAGTAGAGTCCGAACGCTCCGTGCGTAGCGATGCCAGGAGCCCCGTTCGTAGCTTCTTGTTTATAGTAGCGATTTGGTATCATGAACCAACGAAACCATGATGACAGTGCATTGGGACCGGTCTGGTCGTCGTTTGGCCTGGAGCATGAGGGTCTGGTCCAATGGTCTCCGGATGATTGATGCAGTTGCCCGCGCGATTCATGGGTGTTCCATCTGGCAAGTAGCCAACCTGGGCTCATCTTGACTCATCTCCAATTCGGAGATCCATTTAAACCTGTTTGGCTCTTCACCACAAAAGAATGGATCAATTGGGCGAATTATCGATAATTAGAGATGGAGAAACCAAATGAAACCACCAACCAAATACAGTGGGATGTGATAGGATCACAGCATGTTCCTAGATCCGACAATCTCCTCAACCACTTTCCGCTCCGGCCAAGTGGCATCATTGCCAAAAGTCAAGTCCACATAGGCATCCTTCGCCGGTCGCCAAGTCAACCAAATGAGGATTGTCAACCAAATGAGGTGTTGCTTCCGGTGTTTGGCTACACATGGCTGGTGATTCTTGATGTTGGGTATCCAACTTCAGGTTAACAACACTGTTCGCAAAAGGAACGGACACTGAGGGTCCCTCCACCGTGTTGGTTTCCGTCCGAGGAGCGGCTACTGTAATGGGCTGAGGCTCGGACAAAGCGCACGGGCTGAGCAACCCTTTGTTACGTTCATTGTTACTAGTAGCGTTCTTGTTCCTAATAGTAAGGCCAGGAGCCCCGTTCATAGCATCCTTGCTCCTAGTAGCGATGCCAGGAGCCCCTAGTAGCGTTCATTGTTTCTGGGTCCCTTTGTTTCGTTCGTAGCTTCTTGCTACTAGTAGTAAGGCCAGGAGCGCCCTGTTCGTAGCGTCCGAACGCTCCTAGTCCTAGTAGCGATGCCCTTAGGTTACTGGGTGGCTCGGAGGGTCCGTCGAAATTCGGGCTCACTTTCGATCGGGGATGACCGGATCACCAACGCCCTTGTGAAGAACAACCAACGCCTTTCGATCGGTCCACCTTCCTTCACCGGGAAAAAAGACACATCGGCCGAAGACTCCTTCTGCACGGAGTATGCGAAGCCGACGGAATGGTGCACAGGGGCGCCACTCTGAGCCTGGGCGACCGAGCGACCGGGGGCAGGTCTGGCAGGTCTGAGCTTGGAAGAGCACAGCCGCACAGCCCCATCTTTTCCTTCGAATGGACACGAAACATGCCACTTGATGAGAACAATTCCGATGAGAACATGACACAGTCCCTGACATTCGCATGAGATTGTTGGGGTTGAAGAGTGGAACACTGACCGTGTAAGTCCAACCACTTATATCTATGATCTATTGAGTTCTTTAGCGAGTAGCGGAGGATCCCACAAAGGCAGCCGCCACCGGCACGGGAGCAGAAGCTGCCGGGGCAGGAGCCGGGGCGGCAAAGCCCTCGGAGCCTGCCGCGGCAGGTGCGGCCTTCACACCTCCCTGATATGGAATAGACGAGTGGTGGAGACAAATGCGAACCTTTCCATCTTGGCATTTCCTGTAGCCAAAGGTGTACTCCACCTTGCTGATGCTTCCATCCTTGGCGCTGGCAAAGAAGTAGTTGCCCATAGCGATGGCAACATCCCCGTTCAAGTCGATCTGGTGGTTGTCAAAGAGCACATCTGACCAACCCTGTCCACCGTTGATTGCAAAGCCATGATCTTCAGGAATTCCATCAGGCACGGCATCAGCTCCGACAAAGTAGGACATGGCCTGGCCTGCCTCGGGGCGGAACTGGACATCCGCAGCTTTGGTTGGCTTGAAGAGCACCTTCCCATGGCCATAGCCGTAGAGTTCACCGGCGGCTTGACCGGCCATTGCCACATAGTCCCCACCTTCCAAGTAGCATTTGGAAATCCTCTTGATGGCATCTGCCCAGGCTCGCTGGGCGCCCTTCACCTCCTCCATGGTCACGGAGCCAGCAGAAGCTTGAAAGGCTGTAGATCGGGCGGCAATCTTGGAGCGCTTGGGACGGGCCAAGACTTTCAAGACCCCAGCCGCTGTGGCCACAAGTGCAACGCCATACACAGAGCCTGCCGGGCTGCTGGCTCTTCTGGGTAATACAAAACGAGCCCCACGCCGTGTTTTCTTCAACTTCTTCTTTCATAAGTCTTTCAAACTTCCGGGATCAAACAAAAAGACAAGATCAACTATACCTGGACCCTCCTGTCGGGGTGTCCAATGGACCACCCCACACTACCTATAGGCTTCCATTGGGCACCCCTTGGCAAGTTGGAGGGTCCTGGCAAGTAGTCACTACTGTTCTACTATAAGACTACCTCACCAAGCAGTCGATACAAGAGGAACATCCCAACCGACAGGCCCCATCTCATTCAGCTCGCCGGCCTGCGAACTCGCCCTTCAAATTGCCTTGTGGCGCGGTGTTGGCCCCGGCGGCCACTGTGGCAGTGGCTCTTGGCTTCACAGGAACCACAAAGCCGACACTGAGACAGGTCATAACTCCAAGGGCACTCAGGAGGGCGATTTTCGACCTTAGAACTTCAAGAAACGCACATTCTTCATGCCGGGCATGCCCATGGCAAACAGTTCTCTGCTCTTTGGTTGGGGACGTCCGAAAACTTCACGGGATTCAGAACACAGAAGTCGATGGAAAATCCGGATCAATGCCGACCCAGCGACATCTTCTGAGGGTCCTTCGGACTTGGCGCGAAAAATGACGACCCAACAGGTTTGGAAAAGGCGCTTGAGCCGAAGAGAGGTGAAGCATATCTCCTCTTTGGGAGGCGGTAGCTTTGAAAAAAACGGCAAAAAAGAAGCTGAGGGTGCAAATCATACATCGCATCGCTTTTTGACATGTTGGGCAGTCAATGTGAATCTCCGAAAATCCTGGCGGACCAGCAAACATCATACTGTGGCCTTGGGCATGGCAAGAAGCAACTGTTTGGCGAGGCATCATTCAGTCATTAACTCTCTGGAGCCTACTGGCTGGCGCCGCTTCAGCATCTGGCATTGATGCCAGCCGCATCCTTCAGTCATTAACTCCAGTGCTTACTAGGCGCCGCTTCAGCATCCAGCATTGATGCCAGCCAGCTTCAGTCGCCTTAAATTGACGCCTGCCTTTTTGAGCTCGGAACCCAAAAAATTGAGCGAACCTCTTTCATTTGTGCGCCTTTCGCCTTGAAAGGCGCTGGGAAACCAACCAGTTTTGAGCTCCGCAAGAAAATCGAATCTGGTCCATAGTCCGTACACACCAGGATGAAGCTTAGTACGCTTCTCCCAGACCACTCAAGAAGACAATGAGTGGAGATATCACAATCACGTGATCAGCAAATATCAGCAGTATGAAACAGAATATGACGGTGTATGCAACACTATCCAACAGTGATCAGGTACGATCAATGTCTGATTCTGCTCCACCTGTGGCTTCTTGAATGCAAACAAACAAAGAAGTGGAGCAAGTCTCGGCAGCAATGAAGTGAGCCTAGCTCTGCTACCAAAAGAATCGGCTGAGTCGTCGTGCACTGTGTCACTGTGCCTTGACTTAACCGTCACAGCAACAGTGCGCGGAGACCATGGAGACCATGGCTTAGTGCACGGTGTTGTTGCCGGCTTTGTCGATGGGTGTGCCATCCACCAAATATCCCACGTCCGCAGCGTAGGCTGAGGCGGGCAATTCGCTACCAGGAGCATGAGGATCGGGTCCAATGTTCTCCTCAGTCCGAATCAAAGACCTAACCTGTGAATGTTCCCATATTAGAAACCTGTGCTGATACCCTCTTCCTGAGACCGAACCAACCTTGCGGTACAAGTTTGTAGTTGTTTGGAGTATTTCAGGATTCAAGACCTTGTGCACATTTGTGGGTATCATTTTCTTCTAACCAGGGGGGTGTTTGCGAGCTACAAAGTAGGCGATCCCTTGCAGGTTCAGTCGTACAACAACTTAAAAGAAGGGAAACACAAGTGCAAAGGGGAGCAACTAAGCAGCTGCTAAGAACGCGAAACGAGGAAATAAATTATTTGGGGAGACCAAGGAGAAGTGGTCCACAACTCCAAACTAGAATTGTAATCGTCATAGGTAATCAATCAACAAGGTAAAGGATTAAGTTGAAAGCGAACAAGGCGACAAGAAATATATAGAAATATACTCGAGACAGCTAGCCAAGAAATGACAAGAAGCAACACTAAATAGAGCTGGTTCTCCAGCAGTTCCACAGAAGAGGCACCGTAGGTCCAGTCGAACGTAGAATTCACTTCATAGGTCATGTTGCACGTAGAATACGACAGCCCATATGTGTTACTTGTGGGGGACCGAATGGCTTACCTCAACCTGCCCGGGATGACCATGGCCAATGGCCAAGTTCACGCGCAAGGAGGGGGTTGGAGGCTCATTCTGCTTTCTTTCCCCACTTCTAGGTGAGATGAACCCAAAGTAGATTCCAACAACTCTTTTGATGCTTGAGTTGGTCCCAGTGCATCGAGAAACCATCCAAGACCCATCGAACCCTTCATGAAGCTCCGTTGCCAAGTGTCCGGATGGTTGATGTTGTTTCCTGCGGTGTTCAAAGGAGTGCCGTCCGGCAAGTACCCCACGTCATTCACGAACAAAGCACGGGGCAGGACGGAGCCTGGCGATTTTCGTGCCGGCGGCGAGGAGCACTTCGGCTCACCTCCCACCGTGGGCGTAATGTCCCTTCCTGAAAAATCAGGGGACCCTCTACTACTTGACGTGCCAACCTGCCGCAACCCTTGGGCAAATGGCATGAGTCAATCGGTTCACCAAGAGGACCTCTATGATTGGTTAAATCAGGATGGCCAGGAAAGAGACATGAGGACAAGGTAGCCAAGGAAACAGCCAGATGGTAAAGATGGGTAAACATGTGATGCACAAATAAACTACAGTAAACAAACATGATTATCCGGAACAAATGCACCAATAAAAAAATCGACCTTGAACCAACAGCGAGTCTGCATCGCTTTCAGCGTGGTCATCGCGTTTCTCTCACGTGCGGTCGGGTCTGGTCGTCGTTTGGCCTGGAGCATGAGGGTCTGGTCCAATGGTCTCCGGATGATTGATGCAGTTGCCCGCGCGATTCATGGGTGTTCCATCTGGCAAGTAGCCAACCTGGGCTCATCTTGACTCATCTCCAATTCGGAGATCCATTTAAAACTGTTTGGCTCTTCACCACAAAAGAATGGATCAATTGGGGCGAATTATCGATAATTAGAGATGGAGAAACCAAATGAAACCACCAACCAAATACAGTGGGATGTGATAGGATCACAGCATGTTCCTAGATCCGACAATCTCCTCAACCACTTTCTGCTCCGGCCAAGTGGCATCATTGCCAAAAGTCAAGTCCACATAGGCATCCTTCGCCGGTCGCCAAGTCAACCAAATGAGGATTGTCAACCAAATGAGGTGTTGCTTCCGGTGTTTGGCTACACATGGCTGGTGATTCTTGATGTTGGGTATCCAACTTCAGGTACACACTGTACACAACATATCCTGTAGTACTCCTGTAGCATGATTTAGGTTGCCCCAAGACCCTTCAGCCAAAATTCCAAAGTTGGACATTGTATAACCTTGTCAAATGGGTCAACACAAAGGCCCTTATTCGGCCACCCCAGTTGACTCAAATGGTCATCTTCATACCGAATATTCCCGAGCTGGATCCAAAGAAAGGCGACTTTGGACAACACTCCATAACACACAGTCTCCAATGTTAACATCCTTTAACCCGCAGGACTTCCCTAACTCAATGCCGGAAGAAAACCCCTCATCCCTGCCGTGCATCCCATCCCCATCCGAGGACAAAAGAGCAATCAAACGAGACACACACCCTTTCTTTCTTCAATTACGCCTCACGTGGCCCAACAAGTGCCCACGTGCCCACGCCAATCGCGTCTTGCATGCCTAGTTCTGAATTCAGTTGGGACACGACACATACTTCACAAAACAAACCACTTGAGGCGTTCACTCGACTTCGACTTTACCCGTGTGCCAATTTGTCCATCCTAAACCAGTGACGCGCTTTGTGCCACTGGTGCTCTCCCAAAAAAAACCACACACTTTCTCGAGTTGCGCGGGGGGGGGGGGGGGGGGGGGGGGGGCGGGGGGGTGGGACGCTCTCCGGACGCTCGGCGGGTCCTTCTGCACGGAATAGGCGAAGCCGACGGAATGGTGCACAGGGGCGCCACTCTGAGCCTGGGCGGACCGAACGACCACGGAGGGCCGAAGCGACCGGGACGGGATGGCCAAACACGGATGGCGACCATCGACTTGAGAGGAGGGAGACACGAAAGGTAGGACAGACTCAAGGTATCCCCTAAAGGGCTACCTTTCGTGAAATGTAGAACGCTGACCATGTATTATCTATGGAGTTCTTTAGCGAGTAGCGGAGGATCCCACAAAGGCAGCCGCCACCGGCACGGGAGCAGAAGCTGCCGGGGCAGGAGCCGGGGCGGCAAAGCCCTCGGAGCCTGTCGCGGCAGGTGCGGCCTTCACACCTCCCTGATATGGAATAGACGAGTGGTGGAGACAAATGCGAACCTTTCCATCTTGGCATTTCCTGTAGCCAAAGGTGTACTCCACCTTGCTGATGCTTCCATCCTTGGCGCTGGCAAAGAAGTAGTTGCCCATAGCAATGGCAACATCCCCGTTCAAGTCGATCTGGTGGTTGTCAAAGAGCACATCTGACCAACCCTGTCCACCGTTGATTGCAAAGCCATGATCTTCAGGAATTCCATCAGGCACGGCATCAGCTCCGACAAAGTAGGACATGGCCTGGCCTGCCTCGGGGCGGAACTGGACATCCGCAGCTTTGGTTGGCTTGAAGAGCACCTTCCCATGGCCATAGCCGTAGAGTTCACCAGCGGCTTGACCCGCCATTGCCACATAGTCCCCACCTTCCAAGTAGCATTTGGAAATCCTCTTGATGGCATCTGCCCAGGCTCGCTGGGCGCCCTTCACCTCCTCCATGGTCACGGAGCCAGCAGAAGCTTGAAAGGCTGCAGATCGGGCGGCAATCTTGGAGCGCTTGGGACGGGCCAAGACTTTCAAGACCCCAGCCGCTGTGGCCACAAGTGCAACGCCATACACAGAGCCTGCCGAGCTGCTTTCTGGGTAAAACTAAACAAAACTGCTGGGAGCCCCGGCCCGTGTAATTCAGAGTCATGCAATTCATGATAAACTAAGAACACTAACATCATATCTAACATCAATGAACTACGTCCCGACGAACTCACCAAAGCACAGGCCTAGGGCCGCGCCTGCGAACTCCGAGCCCTTCCACTCCCCTTGCGGCGCGGTGGCCCCCGTGGCCGTGGCCGTGGAGGAAACGGACACCGTGGAGGAGGGACTGGGATGCACCGGGGCCACGAAGCTCACGCTGAGGTAGGTGAGCACTGCCAGGGCACTCAGCAGAGCGAACTGCTTCGACCTCGAACAGTGCGACGCGAAGCGCTTCGGTCGATGAACAACCACCCAACGCGGAACCCTATGCGCCGAGCCGGTGACTCTTCCGCGGGGACTGTTGGAAAGCAACTGGGCGATGGCACCGGCTGGAGTGAGTGGTGTCCAGTATGGGGAGATATCGCCGTTGGATGCCTATGGGGTCCCCGTTTGGATGCCTCAGTCTGAAGCCGATTTGGTCAGATTCCAGAAAGCCAGGTGCACTCAACCCGCGCGGTCGCGCGCGGCGTTCCTCGCGTTCCCAGGGGCATCTTCTGAGCGGGACTGGCACGACAAAGGACGACCCAAAGAGCGGTGAAAAATGCGCTTGAGCCGAAGAAAGGCGAAGAGTTGAGCGGAGGGTTGGCCTTGGCAAACCATTCGGACCTAGCAAAGACCTCCAACCCAAAAGAGAACTCATCCGGACCTTCCGTCGATCCTTTCACCTGAAGACGTCTTGGAGTCCCGAACTCCCCCAAACGTCTGCTCCGACTTCTCTTTATCGGTGCGACATGGACGTCTGGAACAAGTGCTTGTTCGTCAAGGCCAAGCCGTGGGGGGTCGAAGCAGGGGCGTTCTCAATCAACGTGATGTTGAACTCAAAAGACTTAAAGATGGATCTGGGTGATGTTGGAGGCCATTGCTCTTAGTTTGGAGGCGGTCTGGATGATGAATTTGTATAATCCCAACTCAATACATAATCCCAACTCCAGATTGTACATTTTTGCTAAAGCAAGGAGAACTCAGGTAGCCTGAGGCTACCTTTCGTGTTTTGCTTCGTTCCAAAATTAAAATAGAGCTTAATAGGAGCCTTTCCCCATCCATCCAGTGACACAGGAGCCTTTCCTCGCCTCCGCTCGCGCTGCCGACTTCACCGCACAACAAGGACCAGCTGAGTATGGAGGATCGTCCCCTGAGTATGGTCGGGGAGGTCAACTCAACTCACCCGCCCGAATCATCTTGCATCGATATGGATTTTGTCAGTCACAAGATCATGTATCATGTAACCCTAGGGCTCCAAGTACCTTCGAAGCTGTTTGGGGTAGGTTTAGAGGCTCCAGTCATACCTTCTGGGAAGGCACTTGGAGCCCTAGGGTAAGGCATTTCGCCCATCAGACTGTCCAAACATCGACGTGGAACAAGAAGCTGCTAGGGGCTTCTTGGACATCAGTTCGGCTCTCGAGGTGAAAAATCATCGATTTCTCATTCAAACTCTGCCTCTGCATTTTCTTCTCTGACGCCATGCTGCCTCAAGCCCTCACCATGTTATCGACAACCTGGCGGCCCAAAACATGCACAGCCTTCCGCGCAACAAGCTCCGGGTTGTCTCGAGCAACAACCATTGCAACCAGGGCCATTCGCGTCCAGACAGCTGTCCGGGGAACAGCAGCGCAAGCCTTTGCGGACACACACGTTCTGACAAAGGTATTCTCCATCCGGACAGGGACAAGTCTCGCCCTCGTTGCAGGGATTGCACACCTCGGGGTTCGCACAACAAGGGTCGGTGGATCCACAGCAAGGGTCGGAGGATCCGCAGCAAGGGTCTTCTGGGCAACATTCTGA